CTAATTCCCAGAGATTTATTGCAAATATGCGTTTACTCGTACTTAAAATCAATAAAATAAATGTTCTTAACAAATTTGTGTTATATCATATCCTGCACCCCGATCATTGCTGCTTGCAGTTATATTTCAAATTGATTTGCACTAAATAACAAATGATTTATGTTCAGTTACAGCAAAAAACTCCACTAATTTGCATGTAACTGTACGATTTGTCAATTAGAAATAGAATTGCCAATGTGATTGACAAGTAAGTGAGCATGATATTAAAAATAAAGAGTTACGAACAAATGCTGTATATAATGCTAGTTACCTATACACTGGGTGCCATGCCAGAATAAAACAGAGTAATTGTAAAATAACCTAGATCAATTTATCACGCCAGATTATTCGACCAGGTCCTCTAGAAAAAATATGTTGACATGTATATATCCATCATGCCATTGACAAAGAGAACAATAAAATTGTCAATATATAAAAGGACAATATTCCAAAAGCTAAAAGCATCTTTGTTGTGTATTAAATGGCATTAATAACAATTTAAAATTTAATGTGTTAAGATTCAGGAAGGAAATTATCATTCATGTCGGATTCAGAGGCATTGTCAAGAATGCGCCAATTGATATTGGCAAATACTATAGTTTGATTTGACACAGCTAACACATGTTTGACACAAGCGTTTCTGTAATTTTACTATTTCATCCAATGTGGACACTTTGAAAGCGCTGTAAATATGAACACCAGTTGTATGGATATTACATATTTTTCAATTCAAAACGGTCGTTTCTATATTGATATAGTGAAATCGAAAATCATTGTTTCCATAAAAACGCGTTCGAGAATAACCTATTTTAACTATTTTTCAAAATCTGCTTTGTTTTTAAAATGGCAGATCTGTCGATTTTCAACAACAAAATTCTGATCATGCCTTTTTAATTGCTAGAAGATTGGCATATGGTTTCGTCTATATGTGTTACTAACGAGCGTTGTAGTGAGGTGAAATATGCAATGTTGTGTTTTAGACAATGTAAATAATGCGGTCCAAAGCATGATCTGTTGGACGCAACACTTGACCATGTGTCCCGAAACCAAATTCTTGTAAATCGCACATGACATGACTTTTGTCACTATTTTCCTCTGACCATTCAAATTTTAATATTGTGACCTTGAAATTTATCCATGCAGCGCCTTCAAACTTAGCGCACATGTTGACTGTGAAATGAAATAAAAGTCAACATGTGTGCCAAGTTCGAAGGCGCTACTATTTTTCTACGTAGTTAATTTGTATTTTGAATAATATGAAAATACATCAACGAATACTATAAGCTGTATCTTTTTTATTCAAATTTGAAGATACTTGATCTTTTACGTTCGAGTACATATTAAAATTACATACTAATATACATAAATAGATACATATGGCTCTGAATGCCCACCAATTGATTTTCTTTTCTAAGGCTTACTTATCACACAAAATAGAACAGTTTAAAAATTCATCCAAGCATGTCATCCCTAGATAAAAGAGACATTTATATCCACGTGACCCAGCATTGACATGTATGCTAGACTGCAAATTCTTCTCTTTAATAAATTAAATCAAGTTGTGTTTTTGTAAGTACACTGATAACATGCATACAACAACATTTATAACACATTGGTAATTATTTTTGTTAAAGATCAGGCGTGCTGTAACCATTAAACAATCTGTGTACAGTTTGCTTTATTGGCAATAGAATAACTTTTCAGTAAAGCAATGAAGGAAAATATTCTAGGATTTCAAATATAAACACACTTAAAGACGACACACAAATTAACAATATCAACACAGATCAATAAATCACAAGCCGTTGTTTTTCTATGGACTGAATATTGAATAATTTATAAAATAATGCAATTTATGACCTGGACAATCTTACTGTTTTTTACTCTAATATATTTTTAATAGCATTGTTGTACACATCCTACCGTAAAATATATGATGCTGATTGCATGTCTGTATACATATGGACCTATATATATCTATATTTGCAGTGTTTGCTTACAATGTAATAATTCTTGAATTCGGTAATATAAAAATCAAACGGTGTCTATCCATCCTATTATACAATTTCCCAGAAGAAGAATGATGTTAGAAAAGAATTGATGTCATACAAATCACAGGGTGTATATCAATTATAATGTACATTGGCCAAGAGGGGGAGAAAACAATTGAGTTAGAAAAAAACACGAATTATATTGAAGTATTCAATTGGCGTTAAGTGAAAAGAGGTTAGACTCTATCACATCTACAAATAGTAGGTCAGTCATGCTCCTATCGATATTTTCCTCCTTGAGAACCAATAATAAAGTTTCTAGCCAGCTTGATTGAAGGATTAATACTGCAAAAAAATGTCAAATTCCCACCTTCCCCTCTCTCAGAGTAAAAAACATTGATTACTACAAATTATTTCATTTATGTTATTCTAATGAATTACATTGGCTTTTATCGCTGAATCATAATCTTTTGCTATTTTCAGTTTCATTGGGTCATGAACACATTTTCGATTAGGTTGTTGGCACCACTTAGTGGTAAATTTAATTGTGGTTTCAGATTTTAAGGCATAGTCGTTATTCATTTCAAACTAGTTTACATTTGAAAAGGAGTCTCTTAAGCGCTTTTCGAAACTTTGGATTAGCAAGTGCGTAACAAATAGGATTAATTGCACTGTTTGTGTAGTAAATCAAGTAAACTAATTTAAACACATCTGGGTGAATGCATTTTGGACAGAAGGTGATCACCATGGCAACTATATAATACGGCATCCAGCAGCAGACCAACGCTGCTAGTAATGCAGTGACGGTGAGGAATGTTTTACTGTCACTCGGTGTGGTGCTAGATCTTCTTTCTGTCATCGTGCTTGCAATATTTGAACTAATTTTCGAATGTTCGTCATCAACAGAAGGCAGTGTTTTGTCCGACTTGGAGTATCGATTAACTGGCTCTGCCGCGGATTTAATTTCAGTATTATTCGTGACGAGCGATGTGTGGTTATTGACTACCTCTATCTCAGGTGTTCTGACGTGCGCCTTTGAAGAGTTTGTTTGTTGACCAGGTGACATCAAAGTATCATCCATTGGTGCGTTCTCCGATCCGCGTACGTGACTTGACGTTACGCCACTTATTTTCGATTTATCGGGGATATTATTTTCAAAATTGCAAATCGATAAACCTTGAACTTCAGAATTACCTATATCGCCCTTGGAAACACAGGCCCGTTCATTGTGTTCACTATTTTTATCGTTATTTGGCTTCACTGTTTCAAAGTCATCCCCATCCTTTGAAAATGCTAAATTCATAACTCTAACTTCACTGCCAGAAGCATAATTTAGGTCACTGCAGTCTGATATTCCTACTTCCACGGCGGCAGTGTCTGTTACATCGTGGTGTGTCACATCACTATGTTCATTTAACGACATGCTATTAGGTTCCGACCTGGTCGTTGAGTGCTCGTCGCAACCTTTCATGTGTAACCTCTCCTTGACGGTCAGATTTTCATCGGCGTTATCTGAATTCATAGACGTTGCACAAGTGTTGTCATTGTCATTGTTGGTATGTGCAGGGCGTAATTTAGCTATACTCGGTTCCTTGATTATTGGATTTCTCGCTGCTTCGTTGATTATAGGCGTGTCACTTGGATTAATGTATTTAATACCCAGGCATTGTACCCCATGCTGCTCCCTCTCAATGGCTCTTTTGCCAGCGTTGTTTCGAAAAATAAATGTGCGTTTGCGTCTTCCTCTATTTCGTGCGGGTTCTCGTGGCTACTCGATATATTTTGATATACAGTGCGAATACACGAATAA